GTGCTTGCCTCTCTTTGGCCTGGTCAGTGCTTATGAGGCTACTGTGTAGGGATGGCTGAGCACCAGGGAGAAACAGGCCATTTTTCCTAAATAGAAACAGCAGGGAGAGGGGAAGAGGCCTGCCCTGTGAGGAATTCTGATGCCACTATTTCTGCCACACCCTGGGGCCCACTGTGGATGTCCGGGGCCCTGGGGTGCAATGCCTGTGGGCCTGAATGGCTGTTGGCAGGCCTCCTGTGGCTGAGGCACATGGGCCTCAAAGGCAGGGCGTCTGTCAGGGTTGGCCACAGCTTACCTTGGCTCCCCTAGAGGACTGTCAAGTACCCGTTTACTTGCCAGGGCAGTGGACACTGACTGGGCCTTCAGGGCTACTGTGCTCTAGCAGGAACACTTTGTCCCCAGCATTGGTCTTGTTCATTTCTATAGTTGGTCAATCCCTGCCCCCTGTTCAGTACCCCATACGCTCAGAGTATATCCAGCCATAGAACAGGGGCTCTGTCAACTCTACCTGACCCTTCGAAGGTTCCTCCACATTCACTGGACACCTCCCTTGGGGCCTCCTCCGCACACCATCCTGATCTCCATACAGTGTGGTTTGCTGTGTTTTCTCTTCCTGGGGCCTCTGTGGCTATTCCTGTCTTTAAAGCCACATGACCTCATTCCTTCCTCCTGTGAGGGCCCTTTCCAGGCTTCAGGGCCTCTCACATTCCCCAATTTCCCCGTTCCCAACCTCCAACATCTTCATACCCCACAGCCCTGCTCAGCTGCAAGCTAGCCAACTGAGGTTTAACAACACAGAAAGCAATGGCTCCTGAGAAGGCCCAGTTCTTGCTGTGACCCTGAACTCAAGCCAAGCTGACCCAGGCAATGAGCAGAGGGCAGAACCAAGAGAGAAGATGCCCAGGGTAAGGGTAGACATGGCGAGTGAGGCCCAGTAGGGGCAGGAGAAGAAAAGAAGAGAGGAGGGGAAGAGAGGGGAGGGGAGGGGAGGGGAGGTGACAAGGAGAAGGCAGGACATACTTCAATTTGGCTTCCAGAGACCAAAGAAGGCAGTGCCTCACCCTCACGCTAACAGGTTATCACTCATCACCACCAGTGTGGTCATGGCTAAAGGCATGTCTGATGCCTAGGGCCAGAAAGCCAGGGTGCAGAATCTCTAAGGCAGGCCACCTCCTCATCCTAGTTCAAACCCAGGGCAGTGGCTTCTTTCTTGGGAAGCCAGACTGGTGAGCTGGCCACTTTCCTCTTGCCAAGAAGGGGAGTTGTGCAGATTCCTTAGTCCCTCCCCCCTGCCTGCCCCTTTCACAGCCCCCAGTGGGCAAGACTGCTATAGATGCAGGTGGATAGACATGGCCGCATATACACTCTACTTAGCCTGCTGTGCAGCCTTGAGAAAGTTGCTCCATCTCTCTGTTCCTCAGTCTCCATGTCCATGAAGCCAGCTTGGGAAGAAAACCTCTAGCGCTTGTATTGAAGACTGGAATCAGACATTCTGAAGGTGTATCACCAGCACTCTTGTGTTTAAAACAATAGCCTGTGTCCCCTCTTGCCCATTTCTACCTCCATGGAGCCACCCCTACAGAATAGGGCAGCCTGGCTTCCCACTTTGATCACAGTTGATGTTCTTGGCTGGATCCTGGCTGGTCAGGAAGAGGCTGGGGCTGGCAAGGGTGTGCACAATGAACTCGGGAATCCAGATGCAACAAGTGGAGAGGAAGCATGTGGTGGGTGGCAGTCCCATCTGCCCTTCTACTGAGGTTTGGGCCCATGAGTATGCCAGACCCAAAGGCATTCTAGCTCAGTTCTCTGGTCGTGGCAGGGCTGACTTGTGCAGTTTAGCTGTCTGGGCCCAGGGTGGAGTGCTGACCAGTCGCACTCACCCAGCTGGCACAGTCTGAAGTGTCACAGTCCATCTCAGAGTCACACACCCACTGAATGTCACAGGACAGGTGTGTATCTGCCAGTTTGTCATAGACACACATGTGCAAACACCCAAGGCTCAGCCCTAACAGCTACCTCCAAGCTGGGGCCTCTCCCCAGTCACCCCCATCATGAGGTCTCCAAAAGCCTCAGGCATCTCCTCCCCACATCGTCTTAGTATGGTCCCTTCCCTTTTAGGCTGGCTCCATGATGCCCACGGGAGGGGTGTCTGAATAGTGCTGCTGACTCACAGGGGGGCAAACCAGTCCTGATCAGGGTGCTGCCAAGTTGTGCCCTGGGCTCACTGCTCTCCCCTGTGACTCAGAAGGACTCGAGGGCAGCCTATTACGTAGCCTTATCATATGAAGAGCCAAGAGGTGACCTGTATGCTCAGGGGCATCAGGAACTGCTCAGCCCCACGCAGACCTTCCCTGGATTATCTTTGAACCCAATGCTGGCATAGCCCACAACAGCACCCCTCCAACCCCATGCCTATATCACAACCTCAGTGGAGCTGAGGGTGGGTGGGGCTTGGTGATCTCAGTTCACAGTTGCCATAGTCTCCCGCTGCCACATGGTGTCGCTGCTGGGAAACACAGAGCTTAGCGGAAGAGGTATCAGCACAGTGGGCGCCTCTCACAGGCTGATCACAAGGAGGCTGGCTGCATGGGATGAACAGGCTAAGATGGCACAGCCTGAAAACAGGGCTTCCTTCCTAGGGCAAGCCCCAGAAATATACCCCCAGAGCCTAAGCACCGGATGTTTCTATAGCCTTCTGTGTGCGTGCATGCACGCGCGCGCGCGCGCGCGCGCACACACACACACACACAAATCCCCCCAGTACATGTCTGACAGGAGTCCTGTAGACAGATGTATATAACCCCAGATGGACCCATGCCAGATCACACTGCATATATGCAGCATTCATTATATATTATATATCCAATATTTTTGTTCAATTTTTTTTTATTTTTTAAAGGAAGTAAAACTACTTGGGGAGCACTAACAGCCTTGTGGGTCTCAGTTCCAAGCCCCTGGCTCTGTGATTCCTGAGCTCTTCAGTACTGCTGGATTCCTCCCTCACTCCTATACCTGCCACACCCAGAAGACTCTCCCCCCATCTCTGATGAGTCATCCCAGGAGGAGCAAGAAGGTGCAGGTCTTGCTCCTGCATGACTCAGTTACATTTCATGCCGTCTGGGCTTTGAGCAGTTTTTGCAGAGCCTGGTTTCCTTGCGTTGAGGCTACCAGAGTTCCAATCTGCTCTCTTCCCTGGTTTTTTTAACTAGTTTGTCCTCAAGGTCACTTACGTACATCTGACTATAGTCCCAGCTTACCTGGATGGGTGTTTCCTAGAACCTGCAGCCTGCTGAATCCCCTTGGCCCCTGAACCCCCACCCCTTCACCCCCCATATACCCAGGTTACAAGGGCCAGCCCAGGACCCACTTCTTAGATTGACCAGCAGGTGGCATCAGGCATCTGACCAGGGACCAGGACCTTCCTGTGTACTTTTTCAGAAGCAAGATCATCTAGGATGTCCTGGAATCCTGACTCTACCCTCTCAAGTGGGACTGTTTTGTTCCCTCAATAGGATGTGGAAGTGGAGGAGTGAGTATAGGGTCTCCCTATGTCAAAGACCCTAGAACTTCCACTTTGCAGAGTGCTGGGTACCCTGACCCCCACCTGCACCCCTATCTCTAGTGTCAGACACAAGACAGGGCAGAAGCCATCTTTCAGGGAGCTACCCTGACTACAGGGCTCCTTGGGGCTCTCAGATACCCCTGGGGCTGCCTCCACAGATAGCTACTATGTGTCCTTGTCTGTGTCTGGAGTACTTGAGCTCCGCAGGGCCCAGGCCATCTGTGGTGTAGGAGTCAGGAGGTAGGCGTGACTTGCCTGCATGGCAGTCTGCTTACACAGACACAGCTGGCTGTGGTAGTCCGAGGCTGGGTCTGTGTGAGGATGAAGGGGTGGGGAGCTGCTCTGGGTAGAAGAGTATGGAGGGTGGGCAAGGGATGGTGAAGACGGCAGACAGAGCTCCGCTCAGGGAAGGGCACGAAGGTCTCCACTCTAGGTCGTGAGGCTTAGCCAAGGGTGGATGGACAGAAATGGCATTCAGAGTACAAGAGCTAACAGACTTGACCAACTAACCAACCACAGGATAAACAAAGGTGAAAAGGTGACAGTTTATCATCCACCATGGCCCCAAAAGATTGCAGGGAGGGGACAACAGCACACTTCATTGAGTGTTCGAGTATCTGAGTGTCTAGCTGCCAATTCTTACACAGCCATTAAGACCCAGCTCAGATAGTCCCCACTTTAGGAAGTCCTCCCTGTTGCTTAATTCCTCTGGGTACTCTTGGCTCTGGACATAGCATAGTATTTGATCCTTGGGAGTGGCAGGCTAGGTTTAAGAGGCCTGGTAGCTGAGGATGGACATAGATGGGTATTAAGGTTGCTGGTCTGCCCAGGTGTGACTATGCAGATATGTGGGTGCACAGAGCTGAGGCAGGCCAGGCAGGACTCAGGATGGAAGCTGGGACCATGGCATTTACCATGGGATAAGGCCAGAACACCAGGGCCAAGGCATCAACCCAGCCAGGCCAACACACACAAGGGAGGGCCCTTGGCATCTGGTGAGGTAAGAAAAGAACAGGACTAGCTGAGGGCTGACCCCTACCGCTACAGCTGCCTGAACAAAGGCTTAGGGCCCCTGGTAGAAAGGTAAATGATTATTTGGCCTTAGGATGGAAAGTTACATTCAGGGCCACCCCAATACTGTCCTGAGGGAGGCAGGCATGAAAGGACAGATTTCCTTGGATCTGTTCAGGGCCGTGGGCTGAGGTCAGACTGGAGTCACAGGGTTTGTTGCTCCACTGGTGTCGAGGCCAAGTGTCCTGTGCAGGGCTTGGGTGGCAGGGGGGCACATGCAATATGAGAGAGGGGTAATAGTCACTATCCTGAGCAGCTCTTACTGGCAATGCTTTGTCCACACAAACATGCCAATGGTGTGATCGGTGCTCTCATGCCCTCAGCCACCAGTCCCATATTTCCAGAATGACAAAAGACCAGTTGAAAATTCATGTCACAACAGCCTTTATTTTTATCCAGGCCCCACAATGCAGCCCCCATCCAATCTACGGCACAGGCTCTCCGCGTGGCTTGCTGAGCAGGGGCCTCCAAGTGGATGTGTCCCTGGGCCCCTCAGGGAAGGCAGTAGGTTGTATAGTTATCTTCTAAGGGGCAACATCACTGCCCTGAAACCACACAACCTACTACCTCACCCTGCGGTGTCCATGTTCTGGAGGAGGCCCAGCTGCTCCCCACCCACCCTGGCCACAGGCTACCAGAGCCATAGGGCACAGCTGGCACAGGGCAGGTGGGGAAGCAGAGACAGTAGCTCAGCAAGAAATGCTTGTACCCACCAGATGGATCAGGGAAGTCTCCAGGGTCTGAACCCATCACCCCAGGGACAGTGGCCTATACAGTCCAGGGGCAGGCTGTGTCCACGGGGTACCCAAGCATGCTAAGAACCTTCCTCTCACTTCTTTTGTGTAAAAAATGCCCTGTCTCTATGGAGATGGACATGCCACCATTCATCAGAGGCCTGACCTTGAGTGTCGCAGCTCTGAAACAGAGCTGAAGGTCCAGTCCGGACCCTTTCCTTTTGGAGGCCTGTGAGCCCAGGCCTAATATGATGGGGTCAGGGGAAGGAAAGTCCCTTCAGTGTGGTAAAGGGAGAGGAGGTGCCCTGGAAATGCCACGTCTGCTTTCATCCCCACACCCCAGAGAGGTCAAGGGACTGTCCAAGGTCCTTGTCAAAAGTTCTTTGTGCATGGCAGCTACCATTCCCTGTACCTCCCTCGGCCTCCCCAGCCAGGGCTGGCGCTGTGTCCATTGCAGATATTGCGGCCACTTCAGGAAAGACAGTAGATTGTATAGTTACCGCAGAGCGGGGCAGAGCCCAAAACCATACAACCTACTACCTCACCCCAAAGGCCGTCAGTCAGTCTTGGTGTAGAGCTGGATGCTATGGCTTCTTGAGATGCCTCCTAGAGGAAGAAGGAGAGCTGGGAACAAGGTGAGGGGCCCAACACGGCCAGCTTGGTGCTAAGGGTATCAGCCAGCAGTGGACTAGGATTCCCCCAAAGTGGGCCAGACACTTAGGCAAAATCACCAAGCAGAGACAATGAGGGAAGTGGGGGGTGGGGGGAAGAGAGGAAAAGTTGACCAGTCACTAGGCAGGAATGGCCACAATGGGGGAAGGGAGTCACTTGTCAAAGGCAGTCAGGTCCAGGGAGCTCCTAGTGTCCACCTGGCTGAGACCCGGGCTCTGTGCACTCAGCTCTAGCATAAGCAGAGATGGAGGCACCAGGACTCCAGCTAGGCAGTGGCCTTGGGCATGCACCCTCCTCTTACACAGGAAAAGCCCCTCCTTGAGGGCTCTGTTTTTTTTCCCTGCCTCCCCCCAGAGTGGCCTGAGCTGACCTTGCTGGGGGAGACTCAAAACCATTTTTTTTCCTTGTGGGAGGCAGTCTAGCTCCCCATGGTGGCCAGCTGGGCGGAAGTGCGGACCCTGGCTGGACACTGATGTTCAGTCTGTCCTTGGCGACTAGCACTTCCTGAAGCCAGCAGGGCTCCGTGCTTGGCTCTAAGCTTGGGGCTCCCAGAGCCTTGGACAGAGCCCAGCAGGGAGGATGCCCTGGTAAAGACAGACAGCCTGGTGTGGATGATGATACTCACAGCCACGAGCTGGGGAGTCTTGGGCAAATGTATTGTAAGCCCATCTTATAAGCAAGGCCTACAGCCTTCCCAGCTGAGCAGTAGCATTGTACCGGAGCAATCTTCCCACCTTGTAAGAAGCTTCTGTAGCTCTCTGCTCCCCAGTACCAACACAAACTTGGAGACTCCACTGCAGGCCTCTCTCCAGTTCTCCTAGGCAGGCACCAGGCTGGGTGGAGTCATCTAACCCTCCAGCTGTGAGGCCCAATCACTGTGAAGAAACTGAGGCTCAGAAGGCTCACAGTCTCTAGCCCCAGGTGGTTCTGCTCTCAGAAGGGAAGGGGCTGTGTCTTTCAGGCCTCAGACAGGTGTGCCCAGCAATGCAGAGGGAAGCTCTGTGCCCAGTCCCAGGAAGCCAGGCAGCTTTTGCTCTCTGCAGGAGCCCCAGCACCTGATGCCACGCCTGCCTACCTCCCTGCTCCCTCCCAGACAGGGGTCACAGGAGAAGTGTGAGGATCCTGGAGCCATTAGGCTGAAGTCCACATTATGTACCCAGATCTAGAGGCTATGAGGCAGAGTGGCATGGAAACAAGGTCCCAGAGCGCTAGTGTGGCCTGGCCCTCGGTGTGTTGGCACTGTCCAGCCCCAGAAGGACCTCTATGTGAGCCACTGGGGTGCTATTCCCTGCCTCAAGCCTGGACCCTTTCATGATCAGAAAGGACAAATATCCCCAAGGATGGTCCAAGCAGAGCCAGCAAGGCAGGAAGATGCATTGGAAGAGAGTGGCTCAGGGCCCCCCCCGATGTTCCCTATCTATGATGAGTGGACCAGGTAGGAAGATGGAGGTGTCACTGACAGGCCATGGTTAACCTTGTCAGTTACCAGGATGCACACTTTGACACGGGCCTCTCAATGCTTTGGGTTCTGTGCCTGGCTGGCAGGATACAGTATTGTGAGCAGGACTGCCTGGAAGGGCTGCCTCCTCAATGGGTGACTCTAGGCACACCTTGCATTTCTGTGGGGGTCCCTTTAGCTGACTGTTGGAGATTCTCAGCAGTTCCTTGGCCACTCTAGTGAGCAATCAGCAGGAGGCTAGTGTGTGCCACTGTGACAGCCCCAAAAGTGCCTGTCTTGCACCTGCCCCTGCCTTCCCTCCCCGAGTTTGGGCTTCATTGCAACACAAGTCATGCAGGGTTCAAGCTGTAGGACAGAAATAACGGGAGACAAGCATCCTGGTCCCTCCTTGACCATGGCCACTACCCTCTGTGCCTTAGCCCAACCTGGAAACAGATGTGACTCTGTTTCCCTCATGTGGCCTTCTCACTCCAGGCATGATTCTCCTGGCAGGTCCTCCATCAATGCCAGTTGGCATGGGGGTATTAGGATCACACTGGAGGGCTGAGTGATGGCCATTGGGGGAGAGAGAGAAGAGAGCTGTCTCTGAGGTTTCCAGATACCTCTCAAGGCTGGGTGACCTGAAGGGTGTGAGCCTGTAGACAGTGTAGACTCAGGGTAGAGAGGCTGTGCCTCTTCCATTCAGAGCCAATAACAAATAGAACTGCAGCTCTGTTAAACCACTGTCCAGCCTGGGCATATCACAGTGCATCATGGGTAGATGAGATGAACTTTCTGGGGGTAGTCTCCAGGTGGGAGGCACAGTCCTGGGGTGGGGAGCGCAGGCCTCCAGGTAAAGGCATCTAAGCTGGGGCCCTGGAGCAGTGGCAGAGATGTGGTTTGGACCCTAGTCTTTCTCACTCTGAAGTCTCCCATAGCTCCTAGCTCTCCCAAGGAAGGCCAGTGGGGCCCCACTCACCACAGGGGTATCAGCTGCACACAGAAGCTCCTGCTTGGCATCACTTCCTGACCTGCTTGGGTTTAGAAACAAAAGCAACGATCAACAGCTTCTAAAGGGAGAAATCCTGGTCCCCAATGCCTCCCCTGGCTGCACCCTACTAGGCCACTGCACAGTGACGTTTTCATCTGCCGGTCTACTGCCTGGTGATACTCTGCATGCAAAGCCTTGGATGGAATGGCCTCTAAAACCAGCCCTGTGCTGGACATGCTGGCCAGAGACTATGACTCAAACTTCATCCACAGTGGCCAGGCAAGTCTATGTGGGTGGTCAGTAGCCCACCTAGCCACTGGCTATGGGGCCTGAGGGAGGAAGCACTGTGAGGGGACAGGCTCACACTGGCCCTCATGTACACTGTGGTAGTTAACTGGACTCTGGAGAGAGGGTTAATCCTCTCTAGAGGTTGTCATCAAGATGCAGCTTCCCTATGGCATAGGGCAAGAGGTGCCTGAACTCTCTCTCTTAAGAGTAGAGACCCAGGGATGGGGCTTGCTGGACCACAGGCTTGCTCCGTGAATCAAGTCATTATCCTACTTCCCTTGGGTACATTCTGCCCAAGGTATCATGGCAGAGCCAGCAGAAAGATGGAGGGCCACGCAGGGACATGGTGGCAGTGAGGGAGTAGCCTGGCCAGCAGAAGGACTCTGCAGCAGAGCCTGGGGTGTAGAATTCAAAGACAAACCCTGCTCGGGATGTGCCTAGTTTTGTCCATCAAACCAGGGTGATTTGTTACAAGCCTTGTTATCCCCGAACAGCTCAAGGAAAGGAAGATGAGGCCATTGGCTATTGAGGGTCTGGTGAGGACACACAAGTAGGAAAGCCCCCTCCCTCCCTGACTGCCAGCCTTTCCTGTACCCCCAAGATGGCCAAGCTATCCAGTGAGGACACACAAGTAGGAAAGCCCCCTCCCTCCCTGACTGCCAGCCTTGGCCTGTACCCCAAGGGTGTCACACTGACACCCTTTCTCTGATCCTTTCCACTGTGCCTATCAGCCCTGCCCCCAACACATAAAGCAGCAAAGTGCCCTGGGCAAGCCTCCTCTGCCCTCCTTGGCCATCTCCCAGGCCCTCCCCGCCTCCTGGCTTTTGCCCTGGACTGCCCCTCTGCCAGGAACCGCTGACCCGTTTTTCCTGTTTCTTTCCACAAGGCTCCTGCTCTCCAGGGGGCCTTGCTCTGCCCAGGGCTTGAGTCTGGTGAGGCTGACCCACAGGTACCTGCCATGGACCCATTTTCCCCAGGTGTCACTCCACGCTGTGGTTGTGGGCATGGCTGCCATGGTCTCCTCAGTTCTTAGGCAGCTCTGCCCAACCCAGAGGGCTTATGCTGGTTCCACAAGACTTCAGAAAGAGTCACCCTTTCTTGGTCTGTGGCCATCTCCAGAGCCATTTACGAATGAGTGAGGAAAAGGCCCAGTTTATTACTTGGGGAGTGTTTAGATGTGCCAGGCCTACCTATGCGACAGCTAGGCCTTGGCCGCTGGCCTCAGCCCTGGGGGTTGGGACCCACATAAATGCTTCCTTTCCCAAGGGCTAACAGGAAAGGGGTCCTGAAACAAACCAAAGGGACCCAGTGGGGCAAGGCTGGAGGAGGGCCAGTGGCAGGGCGGCAGTGCACATGAATTGGCGATCCTGAACAGGTCGCCAGGGAATGAGCAGTCAGCAGACGCCCTGCCATCTGCCAGCTGCCACCTCACAACTTGTCCCAGTCCTGCAGTGTCTACCCGTGGGCAGGGTGCCTGGGGGAGGAGCCACGCTGGCCAGGACAGGTGTGCTGAAGGCCTAGGCAGGCAGGTGGCCCTTTCAGGGCTAGGAGGATGTCTGGAGGGAGAGAGGCAGACAGACGGTGTCACCCTGAAGTCACCTCAGGCTTGGCTTGGGGCCACCAAGAGCCGTACCCCCCCCTTAGCAGCCCCCCTCTCCTGGCCTCCCTGATTAGGTTTCTCCCATAAAGCGACCAGTGTCTCTGCTCAGTAGGCCGTGCCAACAGCGAGTCTGGGAACGATGGGAGGGGTGGCATCCGGCTGGGCAGAAGGCGGGCCTCCTTGTGAACACGGTCCATAAAGTTAACAAGATGCATGCTAGCTGACTAGGTCTGGGTTGGTGTGCCCAGAGGCAAACCATGCCCACTGAGGACCATTGTGGGTCTGGCTAACACAGGCATGCTAGGGGTGACCAAGACAAGTAACGCCTTTGTGTGAAGTTTAGAGAAACGACTGATGCAAATGCCCCCGAGACATTACAAGATCCTATGTGAGCGAAGATGATCCAGGTTTGCTCAGTATCCCCTGGCTTCAGACTGGGTTCTGCCAGGTCGGTGGGGAAGTGCGTCACGGGCTTGAATACCTTCTTCCAAAAGTGTATCACAGATATGCAAGGTCAAACCTGGAGCTGGCATCTAAATGCCTTGGACCTGGTTCTCTCTAGTTCTACCACCTCATGCTGATCCCAAGATGGATCTGACCTGCGTTGGGTTTTGGGTAGACTTGAGGCCTGTAGTATCCTGGTAGGATGCCCACCCCTAGAACAGAGGTAATGAACACTGTGACCCATAACAAAAATCATGAGTGAAAAGGGGAGATTCAGGGTCTAGAGCCGGCTGGGGAGGCCCAGACCTGAGCCTAGCTCTCTCCATCTGGAAATAGAGTCCGAGACAAAGTTGGCTCCGTGCCTTCTCTGGAGAGCTAGGGTGATAGCTGTCTGGTATGGGCAGTAGTGGGAGTCACGAGGAAGCCACTGGTTTATGCCTAGGGCAAAGCATAGATGGCCTGTTGTACACTGTGCAGGGCCCTTCTGCTTCCTAGACTCAGCTTGAGGCTAGACATTTAGGCTACAGGTTACCAGCTTTGATCAGCAAGGTATATACTCATCTGCACATATTCTCCACCTAAGCATCACCCAGGTCATAGGGAGGTGCATGGGAAATGACTACAGATGTCACATTGTGGGGCATGTACTCTACCTGCTCTTTGACAGCCCCCTCTATCAACTCCCTCTAGGCCTGGCCCTTCCTTGGGAGATTTTTCCTGGTCTAGGTCCTCCCCTCCAGGACCCCAGTAAGATCCAGCCTGGCCTAGCACATTGAGAAGGCATTGGTCTGGGTAGGTGGGCTTTGAACATTTTTCTGGGTCTCCTTGGAAGAGGGGCATGGCCTGAGCAAGCCTCACTTCAGGGCAACAGAATGTTTTTCCTGGGAGTTGTAGGAAAGAAGTCTGGTGCCAGCATCCAGCTAGCTTCCTAGATGGGACAGTTTGGCCCTTGTGTTTACACACGGCTTCTGGCTATCCTGGCAGAGAGCACGGGGCCAGGCAGGGCCATGGAGCAACCCCCATGCTACCTAAGAAGATTCAAAGACATTGTAACCCACATGCTCCCCTACTTCAATGGGAACTACCTCCTAGCTTCCTTTAAGGACCCCCCACCCCCACCCCCACCCCATGACAGGGGCAGCGGGGCTGTCCGGCCACTTCCAGTTCCCAGAGCTTCCCCTTTTTTCCTACCTTGTGAAGCTGGAATGAGCTGTCAGTATGATAATGGCCCAGGGCTGCTGGGGGTTCTGTGGACCTGGATGGCATCATATGGCATCACTCTGGGATATGCTGCTTTTGATCTCTGGGAAGGCAGAGGAACAGTGTGATCATGGAGGGGCGGGGCGGGGGGCACAGAGTGGAAGGATGATGGGACTTTGTGTACCTCAGAGCCTCAGTGGCTTGGTGGGTGGCTTTGGTTTTGGAACAAAACAACCTCCTCTAGCAAGCACCTGGACTACTTGACATCATGGGCTACCCAGGCCAGGAGATGGACTGGTCACTGTGAAACCCTAGCATTCTATATCACAAGGGGCATTTGGAGGCCAGAGGCTTTCCTCTCTGGGGGACCTAACTTAAATTTATGCTTGTTGATGGCTCCACTCAGGAACCTGGTACCACATATCATTTGTTGAATCATCCATGCTGGCCCCACTCCTGCCAAGGACTCCCTCTAGTGTTAGTGGTGGGCTTTCTGGATTTTCATGTGCAGCCTCCCTCTCTGTTTGCTTGGTGGGCAGTAAGGAATAAGTGGAGCTGGATAAGGGGCCAGGACTCCCAGGCTGCCTTGCCAAGCATCTGGCAGTGCCAAGTCTGGGGTAGCCATGGCCAAAACCAAGCAGGGTGGGGGCTGGTCCTGGGCTCTGTCCAGGCCACTCAGGGCAGGCGGGAAGCAGGGGTCTCCTCCTCTCCAAGGCTACTGCTTGTTTCAGCTACAAAATGGCGGAGGGCTGTGTCGGCCATTTTGTGGCACCCTTGGAAGACAAAGGCTGTGAAAGCCAGAGGGTGGGACCAGTGGATGCCTGACAGGGAGGAGGAAGAACAACCTAATGAAACAAGGCTCTGCCCTGTGCTGAGGCCAGAGATGGTCTGGTCAAAGATAGTAGGTCAAGCAGCCTCCTTCTAGAGCCTTCCACTTGCCCAAGCTACAAAGCTTTTAGTGATTAGCATACATTCCTTCAGGGGTTCAGGGTGGCCCGTGGTAAGGCTTCCTGGGCCTGAGCTTTTCTGGGTTACAATTCTCTGCTCTAGAGTCTCTGCAGGATATGCCCTTGCCTACCCCAGCTGGGAAGGCCTCAAGCCAGGGGGCTCAAGTGTCACCTTGTACTCCAGGAACTAGTGGGCTAGATAGCTCCTTCCTGTCTGGGGCCAATAAGTCTAAGGCTCAGTTGCCAAAGTAGCCATCACGGGACTTTCTTCAGGACCATAAGGCTACGCCCCATCCCCACTTTCTATGGCTCTAGCTAGGATGGCCCTTGCTTTCTCATCTTGTTCCAGCTGCTTCTTTAACAAGACCATCATCTATTCACGTCCCCCTTTCTGGCTCTGGCCAGGGGTCCCATTGCCCCTCACCATGGCTGCTCTCCAAGCATCTGTAGGCAGAGGGTAGTAGGCACTCTGTGGCTTTGGAGGCTGTCCTGGAACTAGCTCTTGTAGACCAGGCTGGTCTCAAACTCACAGAGATCTGTCTGCCTCTGCCTCCTGAGTACTGGGATTAAAGGCGTGCGCCACCAACACCTGGCTCCTATTCTCTTATTCTCTTATTCAGGATCCAGTTACAAACTAGAGGCAAAGAGGACAGCTCTAGGGGGGTAAGGGTCCCACTTCAGGCTGCCTCCTTTTGACCTGTGCAAATAAAAATCTGTTCTGAGAACAACCCACTTTACAAGTAGCTAGTCTGAGGCCCAGGGGGCAGGGACGCTACAGTCATAGAAGCTACCTTGCAGGGTGGCTGGGTGATAGGAGAGAAACAACTCACACAGCCAAGTGTTCAGGCCTCTGTCAGGGACCAGTCCACATGAATCCAGGGCAGGGCCTGTGAAAAACAAAACAAATAAAAACAAGAGGAGTCCACATCATCCTTACAGGGTAAACTGCCACGGTGACAGGGCAAGGGGAGGCGCCACCAGTCATCACTTGTACAACCATAGTCCTGATAACTCTAGAGTGTTAACGGCACGGTGGCCTTTTTTAATCACTAAGTGATTCTCTTTAGTAGGAAACCACATAGTTCTGGCTTCAAGTGCCCATCCACTCGAGAGCGCTGTAAACTCATGAGCCAGGGCTGGATACACACTAAGGACCCATAGGTATGGACAAAGTTTTGGGAGTTGATACTGGAAATTGAACCCAAGCCTCTACCACTAAGTGACATCTCTAACCCTTCAAGAAATTTTATTTTGAGGGTCTTGCTAAGTTTCCTGGGCTGACCTTGAGTCCACTCAATATAGCTCAGGCTGGCCTCAAACTTTCAAATCTTCCCAAGTAACTAGGATCACAGACCTTTGCCACGAGGCCCAGCATATGTGAGCATTTTGTATCTTCAATGTGCCAAGCACTGGTAAGTCCCTCACAACCAGGGTTTACTATGTCCTTGTGACAATGGGATCCTTGGCTAAAGGGTGGAGCACAGAGAGGTTGTGACTCTGCCCCCCACCCCCACCTCCAGTCACACAACAGTACTGGAGTTTTCATCCCCCATGTTTGAGGCATGAGGTGATAGAAAACTCAGGTGCATTGTGACAGGTCAAAAGTTGTTCAAAGGGTCAGCACCTCTCTGAGAGCTCCAGGAAGCTCCACATCACCGAGGGCCAACTGTGCCATCCCCAGGGCCTAGCTTCCCAGAAACATCTCTTTAGAATCATCTTTACTCAGTCTGGCTGGGAGGGGGTCCTTGGGAGCTGGAGTACCACATGGAGACAGAGCTAGTGCTGGAACAAGACCGGGACTGTGTGGGTTATCAATTGCACTGGGCCAACGACCAAATGTAAGGTATTTATAAGACTAAATAAAGAGTATCCTGGGGCTGTAGCAATGGCTCAGCAGTTAAAAGCACTCTTTGCTCTTTCGGAGGACCTTCCCAGCATCATGTGGTGGTTCACAACAATCTGTAACTCCAGTTCCAGGAGATCCAGTGCCCTCTTCTAGGCTCTGTGGGGGCACAATGTGGCACACAGGCAAAACACTGATACACATTAATTTTTAAAAAATCCTTTTTTGTTTGTTTTTGCTTTTTGTTTTTTTAAGACAGCATTTCTCTCTGTAGCCCTGGTAGTCCTGGAACTTGCTCTGTAGACCGGCTGGCCTCCAACTCACAGAGATCCATCTGCCTCTGCATCCCAAGTGCTGGGATTAAAAATGTATACCACCACCGCCTAGCTAAAAATCCTTTAAAATTTTTTCATGAGATCTGAAGCTGGAGCTCCGACCTGCCTAGCAAGCCTCAAACCCTGGGTTTGATCCCCAGCACTATATAAACTGGGTGGGGTGGCTCACACCTATAATCCAAGCACTCAAAAGGTGAATGCAGGAGGATCAAGAGTTCAAGGTCAGCCTAGGCTAGAGACCTTATCCAAAACAAAACAACAAAAAAACCACAACAGTATCTGGCTATTAGATAAATCTGGGCCCTTCCTCACCTTCCATAGAACCCTGGGGCAGCTAGTCTCTAGGCTGGGAGTGCCAGACCTTGGGAATCTGGAAGTGTGCTTCTACCTTGGCCATCCAGCCCACTGCCCCCAAGCCTCAGTTTCCCTCAGAGACTGAGAACGGCCATGTGGCCACCTCTTGCTGGGCTGGTGTTTGGCTGTGGTTGTCTACTTGCTGGAGCCAACACTATAAGCATGGTGGGTACAGGTCATGGCTGGTTAATGGGTAGGGGACAAGGCCAGGGACTTGCCTGTGCTCAGACCTCCCAGACCAAGATCCAGTCAGGCAAATTTCATGGGATGCAATTCCAACCTTGCCAGCTGAACCCTAGAGCCCCCAAACTTTCCATGGCCCCCCAGTCTAAGCTGGTATCTCAAAGACCTCATAGCCTAGTGTCCCCAGGCCACAGGTGAGATGGGGCCAACTTTCTCTCTCTGTAGAGGTCCCTGGAAAGGAGAATGGGATGGTAAGACCCACATTGTGTATTGGGGGGGGGTCTCTGAAACTAACCCTCACTAAGACTATCACTGAGTAAGCACCCACTGTATACATCCAGTGCATCTTGTGTGCATGGTGCTAAGTAGGGGCTGGGTCATGAACCAGGACTGGCCACTCTTACCAACCCAGCCTGCCCTTTTCTGTTCTGGACCCTTCCTCTTATGTCTTGGCTCAGGACCCCTCTGGGACTCCCACCCTTTGCTCCTGGAGCCCTGCACCTGCAGTCTCCCACATACATTAGGACTCAGGACTCAGGGGCACATTCCCAGCCTGAGCCCTTATAAAAGGTGCACTGCTGGACTCTAGATGTTCATCTGTGCCCATGGGATACTGGAAGGATTGTGTATACTGGAGGCTGCCTGTGGCTGAGATGGGGTACCACATGCAGGTCTGGCTTAAGGTAGGTACCCAGGAAAGCCCAGGATCTATGAATCAGAGCCCTCTGGCCAAGAGCTACTAGGTATCCTGGGATACCTGGGCCAACTGCACTCTTGAGGTATGTCCAGGTATTCCTCTTAGTCTCTCTTCCATCTCCTCCTGCGCTCTCCTACTCTGTCCTGTCCCATCTACCAAGTCCTGGAGTCCCCCACCCCCAATTCCCACTGTCTGTTTGCCCTACTCTCAGGCACTGGCTAACATCCCTGACTCCAGGTGCAGACACAGAGACCAGGGTAGTGAATGTGGCAGCCCATTTACTCCAATGCACAGATTGCAGAAGGATCCCAAGACCAAATACAGGTTGCTCTGGCTTATACAGATGGTGTGGGGCCCTGCCTGCAGCCTAGGAGATAAAACTGCCCCTAACCATGGCCACACCAATTCCCTGGATCTAGATTCATATAGGTGGGTCCAAAGCTGTACTTGGCTTCTGGCTCCTCATGGGCAGGGACAAGTGTGAACAGAGCTCCCAGGCTGGCCGCCACCTCTGAGTACAGGAGGCCCCAAGTGCACAGGTTCCCAGTTATAACTGCAAGTTATCCGTGGCAGTGGAAGCAAGGACCTTTACCACTGAGCGCTGAGTATTACTACAAGCAGTGCAAATGTCCTGGGGTCATCTCATTGTTCTCCCATCTCCCTCTTGATGGCTGGGACAGAAAGATAGCCCAGTCTAGTGTCCTGGGTATGCCCAGACATCCTAGAGTCCCAGAAAGAAGCTGGCAGGGGTTGAGACTGTCCAGCCAAGACCCAGCATATGCAAACCTCCAGGTCTGCATGGTTACATGAAGCCACAGCAGTATCCAGGAGAGTTGGGGTAGGCCCTGACATAAACAACCAAAATGCAGAACTGACCTGGGTTGGACATGGTCCTTGAACTTCAGGGGTCACCTGGGAGAATTGTCAAGAAGCGGCTGAAGCCTACAAGGAAAGAGACACTAGTTAGGTGTGGGAGTACATCCAGGAGCATTCTTTTCACATTTATATTATTTCTTACAAAAACCTAACCCGCAAGGGTGCCCCAAAGGCCTTGGCACAGCTTAGGAGCTACCTGGAACTCAAGGTAGCTCATGGCCAGGAGACTATCCATATCAATATGGCCTCATGGCCAAATATTGGTGTTCAAATCTCATAAAGTCCTGGGCCTACCCCTCCTACAAGGACCTAGTCACCAAGGACCTAGAAGCTGCAAGGATGAGCCACACACAGAAGCAGTCCCTGGAGGTAAAGACACTGCCAGAGAACCTCAGAGTTCTGGCCAAACTGCTGCCACTGGACCTCTCTCTGGTGGATGGCATACAGAGCCTGGCAAGGACAGAGTGGGTTCCCTGCCCTACCTAAGTAGTGTATAGCAGGTCCAGGCCTCCAAGTGGTCATCCCAATTGATGAGGCCTCTTGCATACCCTCCTCAAAACTAACTTGAAGCCATGGAGCCCTACAGGTCTAGGCTCCTAGATACAGTGTCTTTCTCAGTCATATCATAAGAGAAGCCAGCACAACTTCACCCATTGGACAGAGGCAGATCCCACAACCTACCCCTCTTAGCAGCACCAGCATGCACAGACTCC